ACATCTGTGGTTTCTTTTCCTTCATTCTCCAGACAAATACAAGGACCAACTATGAGGATTTTGCACCCCTTTATTTTGCTATGAGGGAATTTGTGAATAAGGCATTTGCTTGTTCCTATGCAAAGCATGTGGTGTCCGTGAAAGGGTGGACAAGATGCATAGAGAAGGAGAACATGGAGGCCCCACCCAGATACGAGGTGCAGAGAATGATCTCTCTGGACAGCTACTTCTCCTACCACACCATCCAGGCTGTTGTGCAGGCTTTGGATGCTGCTCTTTCCTCCAGATTCAAGAAGATGAGGATTAACAATGGACACAGACTAGTTGTGCAAAGCCTTCAATCATGGCAGGTATTTGCTTTTCCATTTCAGACCTTTCTGATGTGCATAAAAAGGAATAGCAACAGTGTAGAAACTACAAGAAACTGAGGCAAGAGATTGCATACTCAGAAGGGTCCCCCTTGCATCTGTCAGATTGTCTTCTCAGCTCTCTCTGTCTGCCTTTTCCTGGACGCAGAGGATGCAGTCCATCTGGCAGCCCTCCACCCCCCGTGCTCAAGGCCACTTGCATGAGGCCTCAGTAGCAGTTTTAGTGGTCTTTGCTCAAGTCTATCCAGCCTGGTGATTAATTTGGCTTGGACAATGTTACCTAGACACAAGAGTTGTTGAAATGGCTTATTGTTGAAATGTAGGTTAGCATGTTGTCTGAAGATGAGTGACATATCAAACTATGGTCAAAAGGTCACAGGGTTTCCTCATGGGTTGGCTCAGCTGGGTCTCCGGTGGTAATCCATGTTTCAGCAATGTCTCACAGTTCAGTGACAATCTACTTTCAACCCCTATTCAGGCTTTGGTTCTGGGTTATCCCATCTTCTGACTTTGCATTGAGTTCTGGATCCCAAACCAGTTGTCCCGGTGGACCCATGAACTGTTTGCTTGCTCATGTTCCAAAATTTTCATTGTCCAGAATGAATTTCTCCCACCTCATGAATCACATTTCACAGTAAAGTTATCATGGACATTCAAAAGACAACCCTTCTGTGCTGAAAACATTGCTTTATTAAGTTGCACAATGTAATGCCTGATCTACAGGCAGGACAGTCAGATTCCCTCCCAGCAATAGGCTACGTGTGACACTAGAGTGCAATCCACTGTGAGCATACAGTTGAAGGAACTCACAGGTGTGTCTGAACAGCCTGACCCCTGGGTGCTACTTAAGGACTGTTGAGACAAGACTCCCAGAATAGGCTGGCCTCGCTTTCCCTACAGCAAGACCTGACCACAGTGTCAGAACATCTTTGCATAATTAGAGAAGAGGCTTCCTCTTGCCAACCTCCCATAGCACACCAAGAACATTCAGGAATGAATTTTGGACCCTTATCCATTGGGGAATACACACCAGCCACTTCATCACATAACCAGCCCTGAGCAAAAAGGGAAAAACTGGGGAATCCAGCATGGCTTCATCTTTCCTCAGTGCTGGCGCTTTCTCTCCCATTCCAGCTCCACCCCTTCCTGAGGAGCCCCCAGTTTCACAATCATTCCATGGATGGAGTGTATTTGGATGAGAAGGGGGACCTGGCAGCTGACTTGGACATTGTCAACTGGGTAAAGTTTCCCAACCGCTCTGTCATCAAAGTGAAAGTTGGGAGCATAGAAAGGCAGGGATGGTCTGGACGCAAATGCACCATTGACCAAGATGCCATTGTGTGGCCCAAATGGCTCAACAAGGTGAAGAAAACCATGCTTTATTTCTTTCCGTGTCCTGTCAAATATGTGTATTTGGGAATGCATGTGCATTGGGATCGTCTGCAATGGCTGAGGTTTACTTAGAGGCAGCATGTGTGAGGAATTCTGTTTGGGAAGTTGACTCCATCAGATTTCTCTGATTTGGCTTCCCAGACTCCAGTGCACTTTCTCTATGCCCCAAATCTAGCTTGCAACAATTGTTTGTGTGCACCTCTGTAAGGAAGCACATCCATGGGAACTCAGGAAGCCAGCCACCTGCTTCTGTGCACGTGACTTGTGCATCTTCATTTCTTCAAATGCTTTCCAAGCATGGAGATGCAGTTCAGCAAGAACCTAGTTGCTGGACCAGCTTCAGTCTTAGAAGTCCACACCTGACCATTCCAATGCTGCCTCTCCTTTCCCCTAGTGAAGTAGCTCTAACACATCTTCCTTGTGGTCCTTGTTTTTGTGCTCAGCCCCTGCCCAAGGCCAGGTGTGTAGACAGCTGCCACCCAGGATTCTTCAAGGTGGTTCAGGAAGGAAAGCCTGTTTGCTGCTATGACTGTGCTCCATGCCCAGAAGGGACCATCTCCACTCAGGAAGGTGGGTGACCGTAGACCCTCCAACCTGCAGAGGAGGGCAATGATCCTCCAAAACACTGGGCATTCTGGAACATCTTGCTAAGCATTGATACACCCTGCTGAGAATCCTACTCACTGCCAATAACTATTCCAATACTCTTGTAGGCAGCAGCACATAACCCAAGCCTCTCTGTGGCATGCTCTGCCTCCCATAATCTCTTGCTCCAACATTGCATCAGCTGCCTTGTTTGCTACTTGCTCACTTCTCTCTAGGAGCATTATGTGCCTTAGATGGTGCCTGTTGGGATGTTTCCCCACTCCCTTCTCTGATTCAGCCCATTGCCTGATTGAAACCTACCTTCCGTATCTCCAGGATACCCTTCCTTCTCCTGCTGTGTGCCTCCTCAACCTCTTGAGTCCCCTGTTCCAGCTTAAGGGGCAGTCTTGCAAGGGGCATCTCCTTACTCCCTCCACTGCTGCTACAAAGCCACCCACAGGTGTCTTTCAGTTCCAACAAGGAGCAGCACCCTGGTTTGTGGGAGGAACATCCAGTTGTGCAAGAGGGTGTATGGGAACTTCTGGGTGATGTGATGGGGTTCTTCTCAGGGATGATGCCAGGTAGGTGGCTCAGTCCAAAAGTGTTTAGGCTGGGGCTGAGAGCATACCATGGATGACTGAAAGGGGAGGCATTGCTAGAGAGGATTCCTAGTGGGGAATGCTCATCTTCAACAGATGCTGCAGGTTTAATGGATCATTGCATCTCGTAAGCACCACAGTACAACCCCACCCATCTTCCCAGGAACTGGAACACAGAGGCCTACCTCCCCTGCCCTTGAGGTTATATATTCCCATCAGGGCTCAAAGCCCTTAGAAGCCGCCTTCTCTATGAATTGGTTGGGCTATCTGTTCATGCCTCCTGAATCCATGGTTCTTGCTTCATTTTCTAGAAGTGAGTGCCATACTTCAAGAATCTTCTCTGTGGTGAATGACCTTGCTTTGCTGGGCCATGGAGAATCTCCCACCATTCAACAGTATAGGATGACCTCAGGCACCGGTGTTATGAGGGAAGGAGCAAAATGAACTCGAACAAAGCGTTAAACAAGCCATGTGTTTTTAGGGTGGTAGTATCCCCAAATCCAGCCACATTAGTACAGGGACTGGGTTCCCCACATCAGAAAGCACACTCCGGGTAGCAGCCCATGATGGGTTTCTACATGATGGGTTTGTACATAGCACGTACTCAACCCTACTCTGCAAAGTTCCTCCCTAGGCCATCTCTACACTTGGACCCTCTCACAATATCCACAACTCATTTGGCAGTACAACTCACAAACAATTTGGAGAATGCATTTGGGCGAGGAGAGGGGCATGTGTCACCAGAAATCTCCTGTGATTTCTTCTCTGCTAGAGATATGTCTTTCTTGTACTATCCATAAATGGATTCACAACTTGGATCTCCCAGAGGAATGTTGGAGGATGGACATTTCCTCCATTCTTGTGGGTGAGGCAATGTGCTTTCTCTCATTACTCAGCAAATTCTGTCCTCCACGCTTCCTCCCAGCAGCTTTAAAACACTTTTATAAGCAGGGCAATTGCATGTCTCAGAGCGCTTCCTCGGGTTTCTTTTCCTTGAAGAATTATTCAAATATTGAATTGGCTTTTCTAAAATGTGAATATGTCATAAATGTAAATCAGAGCATAAGAAGAGATATCTTTGCCCATCTGTCAAAGTGCCCATGTTTGTTAAGGTCTCGATTACCTTTGCTAGCAAATGCCATGCTTTCACTGTGTGCAGGAGGACTTCCCTTCCTCCATACTGCATTATCCACTATGCAGAGCACAGTTGCGGGACCAAGCAGCATAGAACGGTTCCCCTTTGCCCCCAAGTATGATCCAATTATTCATGTTGTAAAATAAATTGCTCACTTCACATGGCTATTTACAAGACAGGGCTTCCATGGCATGCTGGCACTCTTGCTCTGCTCCTTTGCTTCAACTGCCCATATGCCAGCATGCTTGGGAATGTCATGTTTGGACATCATCTCGACAGTCATCTACATGAGATCCTGTAGCTTAAGGACCTGCAACAGCAGGGCATTGGACTCAATAGCTTCCTGGCCCCTTCTAACAAGACTGTTCTATGGTTAATTCTGTGATTCTCCCAATGCGCCAGTTCTGCCACAAAGCACAGTGCTCTAAAGGATAGCTCCATGCAGGAATCTCCCTAGGAGCTGACCTGCCACACATCATTCAGATAGAAAGAGTGTGTGGCCTGCAAAAGAGACTCTGCCAGTGATCTGAGCACCTGGACAAGTGCCCTTCAGCCTGGTTCCCTAGATGAGGTCTCAAATGACAAAATGGCTTTGAAAGGGGAGAACATTCCAGGGGAAAATGTGTAGGCAAAACCTGTAAATGGCCAAGGAAGACATTGGTGACAAGAGATTCCCCACACACAACTTTGGATTCTAGAATCAGTGCTTACTGAATGAAGGTTTTAGGCATGAGAGAGCGAGGAAGCTCAGCAATTGTGACTGGGCCTGGAGGCAAGTGAGCTGCACTCCCAGGGTTACCTGTTCAAAATCCTTGACTCAACATAAAGGGAAGAGGCTGTTAAGGATGGAAGGGAGACTTTCTTTTTCTCTTTCCAGATGGTGACCATTGCACCAAATGTACAGAGGATCAGTATCCAAACATGAACCGAACTCAATGTACACCCAAGGCGATCATCTTCCTGTCCTATGAAGATTTTCTTGGTATCTCCCTGGCTTCCATGGCCCTCATGCTATCCTTATTCACAGGACTTGTGTTAGGAATCTTCGTTAAATTCCGAGAAACCCCTGTAGTCAAAGCCAACAACCGCAACATCTCCTACATTCTCCTCATCTCCCTCCTGCTTTCTTTCTTGTCCCCCTGCCTCTTTTTAGGCTGGCCAAGCAAAATGACCTGCATTCTCCGACAAACAGCTTTCAGTATCATCTATTCAGTTGCCATCTCTTCTCTCCTAGCCAAAACAATCACTGTGGTCTTGGCCTTCCTGGCCACCAAGCCAGGCAACAGGGCAAGAAACTGGTTGGGGAAGACTTTGGCCAATTACATCATCATTGGGTACTCCAGCATCCAAGTTGTCATCTGCTTCATCTGGCTGGGCACTTCCCCTCCCTTCCCTGACTTGGACCTGCACTCCCAACCAGATCAGATCATCCTGCAGTGCAACGAAGGCTCTGTGGCCATGTTCTACACTGCCCTTGGTTACATGGGCTTCTTGGCTGCCATTTGCTTCACAGTGGCTTTCCTTGCCAGGAAGCTGCCTGGGGCCTTCAATGAGGCCAAGCTGATCACCTTCAGCATGCTAGTCTTCTGCAGCATCTGGGTGTCCTTTGTGCCCACCTACCTAAGCACTAAGGGGAAGAACATGGTGGCTGTGCAGGTCTTTTCCATCTTGGCCTCCAGTGCTGGGCTGCTGGGCTGCATTTTCCTTCCCAAGTGCTACATTATTATCCTACGACCTGATCTGAATACAAAGGAACATCTCATGATGAAAACTGAGGTATAAATTTGCTTTATGTGTCACTCTTGCCCCAGGAATCTGCTTTTCTTTTGGTTCTTTCTTCGCTTGGGAAAAGAGGCTTCATTTCATCCTTGCAAAAGGACCACAGAAGACCTTTTAGCATCTTAGGAATCACTGTGGTTGCTCTCTTGCTTTGTACTCTCACATTCAATGGCTGTTATCTTTTACTCTCCCCCATTGTTAGGATTTGCGTTTGGCAAAAGAATCTCTCTTCCAATTTTGAAAACTTGGGACCAGGGGAAAAATAGGGATGCAACACTATTAATTTGCATTTGTTAGCCATGCCAGGCAAACTTGGCAAAAGCGGCATCATTCCTGCTTTACAGCAAGAGACACAGTTCAACTGAGGTTGACAACCACTCCATGAAATGGGAAGAACCATTTTGGGAGGAGAAGTGAAGCAACAGGATTTATTTGGACCAACTCGCTTGCTTGTGTCACATAGTGGAGCTAGTGACAGAGGGGGCAATCCTCGGAAAGTCCACATAAATCCTCATGCTAATGTTTCACCTGCTTTTCAGATAAAGCTAGCTCCAAAACTGCTTTGGCATGATGTTGACAGCCACTGGATCAGCACCTGCACTTCCCTTGCAGTATAAAAATACCTAGCAAGCTCATGCTTTGTCTTAAGGAATTCTGCATCTCTGATTGCAAAAACCAAAATATTAGAACCTGGTGGAATTCTGCAACTCCTTATTTTTTATTTGTTACTCATGCTTATAATGATTTCCCCATGTTTCTGTATTATAAGTGATTTCCCCATTTTTCTGCCAATAAAGAGCTGAGGTTCAAGCTTGCCGTCTTCTTTGTGGATCTGAGCGTTCATTCTTCCATTCAGCTACACTGAGAAGGTAGTCATACTCCAAGTCTGGCTTGTCGGGTCTCCAAGAATTGAGGATCCCTTGGACCAAGCTCCCTCTGTTATGTTCATCCATTTCTGGGTGGTTCTAAAGGTGTGTTAGGAGAAGAGGGAGAACAACTTTCTTCATTTCACTCCTCTGCCCAACATTCTTGATAACCTGTCCCCAATATCCTTTGATTGCTGCCCATCCTGCATCCTCTCACCCCCCCCCACTCCCTCTTCCTAGAAAAAAAGGAAAGATGAGTCCCACACCCATGGCTGAAGAGAAACAAAAAGGGCCCCATGTGAGCAGACAGGCAAGGAGACACCGTTGAGGCTTTAAAGTGAGGATCGGTTCCATACAATATCTGTCACATGGTCCTTCAGCCCACATCGATTATCTCCCCTCCATTTCCAGAGCTGTAGATGCCAACTGGGGCTCTACATTGGGTAGAATTACAGAAAATGCCTTGAGGAGAAAGGATGGTATTCTCAGAAGACATTTGAGTTCTCCAGAAGTCACTAGAGACTGCTCCTTTGTGTTGATCTAGGCTCTTTGGACCATGGCTCCTACAAAGACCTCACTTTAGACTGACCTAGGAGCCAGGGTTATTATTGCACCCAAATCTTCATCTTCAAGGTGGGTTCTTCTGATTCAAGGAAGGGTAGCCCTGAATACTTATAACTCTTCATCTGCCTCTGGCTACCAGCAACCAGATGATCTGCTCTGTATCCTCTCCTGTCCCCATCCTGTCCCCATCCTGCTTGAGGCATCCTGCAGACACCTGGTTTGCCCCCAAGACACTGGAGTGCTGGACTGGGTGGACCAAGGGACAGATCTGGCATGGCTTTGCTTATGTTCTCATGTTCATGTGGAGTCCAGAGCATGTGCAGATCAGGTGAACTTTTCTGATCCCTGGAAGCAACAACACAGGAATTGTCCTCTCTCTGTCCTCCCAACTCTCTCCTCTCCACAAAGTAGCCCTCCCCACCCCATGCCTCCTCTTGCTGTGAGATGATCCAGGGCAGGTGAAGCTGCAGCTCTCCATTCTTCTCAATGTCTCAGATCACTGATTGATGGGTATGAGGACTTACTCTAACCCCACCACTTCTTCCCCTTCAGATTTAGAGTTCTCTATCTTGGATTGCTGTATTTTGCAAGAGATAGAACCAGTTGCTACCCTCCCTTGGATAGACAATGTTTACTAAGCATTTGTCACTATGTCAGGGGGATCTTTGGAAGATCAGAGCAGACTTGGCTCCAGGAATCCCCACTTAACCCCGCTGTCCCTTGCACAAGGAAGAATCCTGTGCAGGCTGGGCAGCATCCAGCAGGGCAATGTGCCCCTGCCATTCTGTGGGGCTCTGCAGATTCCCCCATGCAAGCACTCCCAGCTCTTGTGCACTGGCATTCAGTGCTCCTGGGAGAAACTGGAAATGAGGACCACAGTGGAGGAAAACTAAGGGTGCATGGGCATGGGTGGGTGGAGTCTACAGGGGCTGCTGGAGTTATTTGAGATACCAAAGGAGTTTGGCAGTGCCCACAATTCCCAGAGCTATGATGCCTGGTCACAGGCAAGAGGGCACAACTCAGAAAGGCCATGGCAGACACAGTGGTCCCCATGGCTAAGTCACCATCCTGGCACAAGAGCCTTGAAGAACTAGCTTACACTTGGTGGGAGCTGCCAGTGTCTCCAGCTGGGATGTGTGTCTCAAGAGCATCACTTGGTCATCCTTGTTCCAAGAGCTCAAGGGAAGGGCTGAAGAGCGAAAAGGGGGACGTGCCTGAGGCCTATCAGGGTCACCTATAGCAATCAGCATCTTCCAAGAAATCCTGCCTTTGACAGCCTTGCTCAGACCTTGTACATTCAAGCCTGGAGCTTCTTTGATCAACCCCAGGCTCATACAGCACATCTCAGATAACCAGGTCATATATCCACTTATTGAGGAAGAGCATCCAGCTTCTTGGGATAATTTGGCTGGAGCACATTCTTCCCTTGTCTCATTTTTAACTTCAAAGGAAAATCAAAAGCAGATGTGAATGAAGATCAACAAGGAGATGGATCAATTCCAGAAGAGAAGCCACAGCCTTGAGCTTGTAAGATCTGAGAGGGGCTGTGGAGGATGGGCTATTGAGCTATTCATCTTGCAATGGTCTGGATTTGAAAAAGGAGACTTCTTTCCAATCCTGCAATTATGGGAAGGCACAGCCCTTCTGATGCTGTTGGACTACAACTCCCATCATCCTTTACCATTAGCCAAGCTGATGGGCATTTCAATCCAATAGTATCCGCTGGGATGCATACCCCCAAACATCCTGAAACATTTTCTCAAGCCTCACCCATTGGTACATCGAGCTTGCCCCGAGCAGCTCTCCCAGTCATAGTGCTGTCTGGTATTTCCTAATACAGCATTCATGATAGCATCCTATGCAGCGTTTTGTGGATTTTGTAGCAGCTACCTTACTTGTTTTTCCTCAACACCTGTAGCCGTCTCTTGTCAGAATGGAGCCACATCCGGGATTTCTCGCAGTTCTGCTTTCTTCAGCTCGGAACCTGCCTGGCCTTGAGTCACACGGAATAGCCATGAAGTTGCATTAGGGACACATCTCCTAATTATCTAAAACATAGTGACTGTTTGCATTCTTGTCAAGGCTCGGGAGACTTTGCTTCTTTCTTTTCCCTTCTGTCTTTCTTTCATGGCCTGCAGATTGCATTGGAGATTGCTAGGAAGAGGGACAAGGTTTGCCATGGACTTGAAGAGCATCCCCCAACCTCAGAAATCACTGCTACTGGAAAGACACAGCAACCTTGCATTGATCAAGCAGATTTGGGGATGAGATGAGCAGCGATGAAGAGGGTTGGAAGGGCACGTCCAGAATTATCCTCATTGCACTGCTGCTTCTCTTCCAGCTGCTGGCTCAGGCAGTCTGTCAGATGATGAATGTAACGTGTCCCCCCTCTCTAAGGAAGCATCAAAAGGGATCTTCAAATTACAACCACCCAGGAGTCAACATCATTAATGGAGGCATCTCTTCACAAATGTTTGACTATCATGTTCCATACATCTTTTCTTTTTCTTTTTTCTTTTTTTTTAATAAGCTTTATTCTTAATATTCTTAATAAACATAATAAAAAAACTAAAAACAACATCAGTCATCTAGAACATTGGACCTGCTGGGTCAGCCCCCCACATTTCTTTCTTTTTATGTTAAACTATAAACACATTTGAATCTATCCATAGTCCCGTTTCTCTAGCCAATGACAAAAAGAGTCCCAGGTTTGATAGAAGTCTGTATCGTCTTTCTCCTTCAGACAAAAAGTCAATCTGTCCATTTCTGCACAATCCAAGATCTTTTTTAGAATCAGTTCGTTGGTAGGTGGCTCTTCATTCTTCCAATGCTGGGTGAATGCAATCCTCGCTGCCGTAGTTACATGTGGAGTCAAATACATTGCTTGTTTGTTAAGATCCTCAAGTATAATGCCTAGTAAGAAAACTTCAGGTTTAAATGTGAGAGATGGTTCAGGTTTAAATGTTAGAACATTTCCTCAAACCATTTGTGTATTTTATCCAATACATTTTTGCCTTTTTGCTGGTCTACCACATATGATAAAAAGTACCCGGTTTGTGTTTACATTTCCAACATTCATTTGACATATTCGGCAACATCTTAGCTAACCTATTTGGTGACAAATACCATCTATAAAACATTTTATACAGGTTTTCTTTATATGAAGTTGCTAATGTTACTTTAATATTTCTTTCCCACAGCTTTTGCCATTTCTCTAACTCAATATTATATCCAAAATTTTGTGCCCATGTTATAGTTTCCTTAACCTGTTCATCTTCCATTCTCTTATCCAGTAGAAAATTATACAATCTTTTAATCATTTTCTCATCTGATTTGAAAATCACGTGGTCAAATGCTGTTAACTCCTTACAGAAGCCCCTCATTCTATAGTCTTTAGCATATCTCGATTGCATCTGAACCTTGTGCCACCAAGAAATATTAATTCCTTGCTCTTGTATTTCTTGATCCAATTTCAATCCTCCATCATTATCTAAAATATCATCATATCTCACAATCGTATCAAAATTCAATGCATTTGGATATACAAGAGCTTCCATAGGTGAGAGCCATCTT